CTCTCGGTCAGAAAGTCGCCGAGAACGTTCATCCTGGCTTGGCGGTTCGGAAACACAGCAAACAGCCCGCCAAGCATGCAAAGTGCGAACAACCCAGCCAGTGTGGCGTCTGGCTTTTCCTGACCTCAGCAGTGAAAACAGTCACTTCAACATTCAACATGCCCCATGCAAGAAGCTGCCTTGCCCTAAGAATCCGTGTGCAGGCGAGGGCTTTTTACCACCACGTAGGGGCAGGGGTTTCAGAACCCGCGTGACCTGCCATGTGAGCCTGCCACTGGCCCAGTGGAAGATAGAAATGCCAATGTCCAATTGGACATTGGCAAATTGGCAGGTACTGAGTTACTGTAAATTGGCACGCCAAGCTTGTTCGGCCCTTCCCGTTTAGCCGTTTGGGAAAATCTCAGTCACGCCGCAAAAATGCTCTCTTCAGATGGCATTGACGCCTCAATGTATCCTCGCGGGGTAGTAAAGTTGGTGAACGGAGCCTCGGCAACTGCCCAGCTCAAGGCTGAAGGAAACTGGCGGGCGTTCCAGCAAAGCAGCAGAGGATTGCATAGCTGCAAACATGTCGTTCAAATCCGCCCACCACGGTGGATATTTGTACCTCTGCGCTGCTTGCCACCCCTGGCTGTGACAACTTACTTCCACAGATTGACAGCCCGAGCCTGGCCACATCAAGAACAAGAACACGGTCTGAGTCTTCATCATAAGCACCAATCGGACTGTGGTGCCCAAATCCTGCAACATGAAGGCCAGAGATGGGATGCAACCGTCATCATGCGCCTTCTTGATTCATCTTCTTCCGGTCAAAGTTTGTGGTCACGAACCTGGCAACTCGCCGACAGGTCGCATTCGTGATGCAGAAGCCCCATAATAAATTTGACCATGTCGCCCGAGAAATCCCTGCCTTCCGTGGGAGAATGCCTGACACGGAACGATGCTGTGCAATCTGCAATTCCAGCAGTTCCTGGCCACCCTTAGTATCTGAGGATACTTGCCGGCTGGCCTCAATCAGCACGTTGCGGAACTCGGCTGGGGAGGATGCCGAAGCTTCTACCTCAGACTGTCAAATGAGCCGTGGTTCCTTTTCTTTTAATGGCGTAGTAGTAGAAGAAGCAGTAGTCGTAGTAGTCGTAGTAGTCGTAGTAGTCGTAGTAGCAGTATAAGTAGTAGTAGTCGTAGTAGTAGTAGAAGTGGTAGCAGTAGCAGTAATAGTACTAGAGTAATGAAGTGGTAGTGGTAGTCGTGGTGGTGGTGGTGGTTCGTGGGCCAGTGGACTCGAACAGCCTTTCGAGGCTACGCGAGGCTAGGCGGGCGATTATCCACAGCTCCCTTTGCTTGTGGCTACGCGAAGGCTACGTGAGGCTACGCCGATTAGTAGGCTACGCGGCCACCATGCCAGTTCCCCTCTACTTTTGGCTCCTGCATTAAAATAAACGCTGCTAAAACGGGCAAACCAGCACACCGATCAGTATCACGTGATTTGCAAGGAGCTGTTTTGCAATGAGCTCGCTGCTGCTTTTGCAGATGCTCCGTGGCAGCCTATGATGGCTGCCACCTGGACAGTGTATGCTGTGTGCAAAGCCCTGTCCCTACCAGCGAGAACGAAGCATCATCCATGACATCTCCCAACCTGCTCTAGAGATCCCAGCCAGGGCTGCGTGTGCTCCTTCAACGTTTTATTGGCATGCCGATGGATGCGGTGCAAACATGTCACACGCACCACTGCCCGAACCTGAATGCACCGGGCATCAGATCCATTCCATATGTTTTTGAGGTCCCAGTAGCGCCACACCTGAACCAGTTGCTGCAGGTGACGACCCTGGCTGCACTCTCTAGCTGCCAAATGCTGTTTTCTTGCCTCAGAATAGTTTCCGGCATGAAACGAATACATCGATGATACCTTACACGACATCTGAACGCAAAACACCATAATGGATCTGTCAAATGACATGGATTTGTCTTGAGGGTGTTGCAGCTGCAGGCAACCCAAGAGAATGAAATGCGTTCAACACCATGATGGCCTCAGCTTGTGACTTCACAGTCCATCCCGTGGCAGCGCAAGAGTCTAGCGGAGGTTGGACCGCACATTCCAGGCAGCTCTGTCAGAAAATGTGGCGACAGCTGCCAGAATGGCCTCAAAGCATCTATCTCAACTCTATCTCAACTCAACCCGTGGAAAGCCTCGGAGCAAGGTTCGGCCATGCACTTCAACGAAACCCGAGGCGCTTGCGCGGCATGGCTTGCTGACCTGTAGGAGCGAGCACATGTGCTAGGAACCACCTAGTCTGGTGTGCCTCAGCAGGCTTGCACCCTCCGTAGTGTTCAGGAAGGTGATATCCTAGACGCGTGCTTGCAGTCCCACGGCATGCTTGGTACACGTGATGTGGTCCTTTATGCTGCATCCGCAAACGAAACACGAGACCTGAGGCAATGAAGCAACGGTGGACAGCTTCAGAAGCCATGCCGCCATCCACGTTAGGAGGTGGACAGTGAGCAAAGTCCGTAGAGCCATGGCACCGATATCCAGATCGATGCAGTGTTTCTTGTGTTAGCTGTGAGGCCGGCTTCGGAAATCACTCCAAAACGATCGGAACACGTTCGCAACTGGATTCTGCCTTTGACATCTCGCCTGATGACTGAAGCCACAGACAGGCAAGTTCTGACACTGAAGCTTGAGCTGGACATTTCGGACTGCTCCAGATGCACTGGCTGAATGCAGATTTGCATTCACCATGTTCACCCGAGCTGTTGACTGCGCACTTGGCGTAAGCGTTCATAATGAGGCCTAGGTTGCACAAGCACAACCAACCTTCAAACACAACTTTCAGCTGCTGTAGGCTTACACAGGAATGGAGCCTTGACCTGGATCTCGCAGGAACAACATATCATAGACAATATGGAACTGTCTCATGCACCCCAGTCGATCTGAAGATTCCCAAGTCTGTAAATTAGAACGAACTTAAGGCACAACACGCAAGGCAATCAATCTCATTCAACAAAAGGCTTTTTGACATCTTTCGACCAGCATGCAAATCATGGCTTGGGCTGGTGCTGATGTGGTGCACCTCGAAGCTCTCAGGCGGCGTGTGTACCACAGACCTCTGGGCTTTTGTATGGCCATCGCGCAAAGTCTGCAACTTGGCCTGGATAGAGAGTAGAACACCGTTGGATTGCACTCCTGAGTCGTTTTGATTGTGACGCAAACCAAGAACTGCGTCATCATACATACAAGAGCGCATGCGGTCCGGCTTCAGCCGGCTGCTTGCTGCAACCCCGAATCCAATGCTGTTCTACTGGGCTGCTGCTGTGACAAAAAGACAGCTAAGACCTGCACAGAAAGCCGAGAATAGGAGTTGAGGATAATGGCACAATTTGGCCCACCAACCTGCATAGCGCGAGGTTCTATGAACAAATTATGTCAGTGCCTGTTTGACTGTGGCTCTGTCTCTGCAGTCAGCGAGCATGAATGAACATGAATAAGCTTGGAAGCGCAAGTGACCTCCAGGTAGCAGTTCTGCAACTGTTCTGCACACGCCTCAATATGTTTCCCTGCCGCCACTCACATGAATGCTAAGCGTGGCACCTCCAGCAGGTTGCTACGAGGATGATGCGCCAACTCAGCGTAAGCCTCAAGGGCTTGGCTGCAAAGTCCCAAGGCATAGCAATGCGATGCCCTGCACTTTGCCCTGCGAAGCGAATCCAACTCAGTCTGGCTGAGGGTTTCCAAACTTGAGATCTGCGGAGCCTTGAAGGCGCCCCCACCACGCACAACGACACCCTTGCTACGCTAGCGCTAAGTTCATGGCAAACACAAGCCTGAATGTGTGTGGCAAGCCGTGTTGACAGCAAGTGATCCAGGCTCTGAATCACTCAGAGACGCACGATGCAATATCCACTGGCGTGAGCTTGTCTGCACGTTCCGACACGTGGCTGGCAACCGCCTTGGCAGTTTTGACTTGCTCTGGCACAGCCACCTACTCATCTTATCACTTCTTGCTCTGAGGCTTCCACGTCCATTAGCTGCCGATGCAAGTAGCCAAGCCTTGCGAAGCAGTTGGGAATGTTGCCTCAGACCAACATTTGAGTGAGAAACTACATGCACGTCAGATCACGTCAGTATCAATGATCATCTACTGAGCTTCCCGCACAATGCATAGAGCGGATATGCTACGATGCCTCGAAGTACCTCGGCAAATCGAGCGTGTGCACCCGTGGCTCCGTCTTGGGGCACGTGGGAGGCCATTGCATCCAACAGCATGACGTTCTTTTGCCGTAGCCTCACCAAATTGCAAAATATTGCAAACGCATGCCAACACTGCCAACTGACGGACAAAAGGCGCCTTTCCAAATGAGCGCAGCCAAATCTGCTGTCTCATGATCATGCGCGCCCAATTGCGTAGTGAGCTCCCTGCTTCTGCAGCGCGGTTGCCAGTTGAACCACCTGCAATTGGAAACCAGCTCTTGCAAGGACGTAGCACACACACACAGCTCCAGCACATGCACTGACGACCAAAGAAACACGAGAGAACAAACCTGCTTGTCCTGTGCCCATGATTTCGGAGGGAGATAAATGGCATTAGGTACTGAAGACGTGACATTCTGAGCTGAGCACGTCTTGTGCTTGGAAGGTTGAGAACCTCAAATGGGAGCTTGTCCGCAACTCTAGACAACTCCTGTCAAAGGCTCAGGCTCTGATTTGAAGCTCCTTGCCTTGCAAGTCGGGAGCGATGAATCAAAGATGGGAACTAAAGCATGTGGAAACATTCAACTACCGATTATCCCGAAAGCAATAATGTTGGGGTATATCTATGATGTTATATTTATATATATATATACACTGCTTCTCTCTCTCTCTCTCTTTCTCGCTCTCTCTCTCTCTCTCTTTCTCTCTCTCTCTCTCTCTCTGTCTCTCTTTCTCTCTCTTTCTCTCTCTTTCTTTCTCTTTTTCTCTCTTTCTCTCTTCTCTCTCTCTTTCTTTCCCTTGCTCTTTCTCTCTCTCTCTCTCTCTTTCTCGCTCTCTCTCTCTCTCTCTTTCTCTCTCTCTCTCTCTGTCTCTCTTTCTCTCTCTTTCTCTCTCTTTCTTTCTCTTTCTCTCGCTTTCTCTCTCTTTCTCTCTTCTTCTTTCTCCCTCTCGTCCTCTGTCCCCCTCTCCCTCTCTCTTTCTCTCTCTCTCTCTCTTTATCTTTCTCTCTCTCTCTCTGACTCTCCTCCCTCCCTCCCTTTTTGCAAGCCGGAGCTGCGGGAGTGTGCTTCGCGTACTACTTTCCTATCTAAAAATTGCGATTCTCAGGCCGGAGCTGCGGGAGCGTACTTCGCATGCTACTTTTCTACTTAAAACTTGCCATTCTCAGGCCGGAGGTGCGGGAGCGCGCTTCGCATACTACTTTTGTGCTTAATTTTAACGAAAACCACAGCGAAAGCGATCCGACACGCACGACCCCGCAGAGAGTTCGTCGGCCAGCGTGCAAATTCGCACGGCGTTACAGCGAGAGGGATCCGACACGCACGATCCCCGCACAGGGTTCATCAGCCAATTCGCACGGCGCCACAGCGAGAGCGATCCGACGCGCACGATCCCCTCAGAGGGTTCGTCGGCCAGCGTGCATGATTCGCACGGCGCCACAGCGACACCCAACGACACACACGATCCCCGCAGAGGGTGCGGCGGCGACGTAGAAAATTCGCACGGAGCCACAGCGAGAGCGCTTCGACACGCACGATCCCCGCAGAGGGTTCGTCGGCGACGTAGAAAGTTCGCACGGCGCCACAGCGAGAGCGCTCCGACACGCACGATCCCCGCAGAGGGTTCGTCGGCCACGCAGAAAGCTCGCGCAGCGCCACAGCGAGAGCGCTCCGACTCGCACGATCGTTCGCCGGCTGCGAGCTTCAGCTGAGTAAGCTAGGCTGTGTAAGTCAGGCTGCGTAAGCTAGGCTGCGTAACTCAGGCTGCGCAAGTCGGGCTGCGTGAGTCAGACAGCGTAAGTCAGGCTGCGTAGGTCAGGCTGCGTCAGTCAGGCTGCGTAAGTCAGTCTGCGTAAGTCAGACTGCGTAAGTCAGGCTGCGTGTAAGTCAGGCTGCGTAAGCCAGGCTGCGTAAGTCAGGCTGCGTCAGTCAGGCTGCGTAAGTCAGGCTGCGTAAGTCAGACTGCGTAAGTCAGGCTGCGTAAGTCAGGCTGCGTCAGTCAGGCTGCGTGAGTCAGGCTGCGTAAGTCAGGCTGCGTGAGTCAGGCTGCGTAGGTCAGGCTGCGTAAGTCAGCTTGAGTAAGTCCCGCTGCGTAAGCTAGGCTGCTTAAGTCAGGCTGTGTAGTCGGCAACCGTTTTTTCCAAAGAACCCTTCGCGATGCTTTCGGGAAAAGGTCAAACTAATACTGCCGAACTGATTGCTTGCAATGCACAGAATGTCCAGGATCAAAATCCTGAACATGCTTTACAGATATATACTACATTTGTAGCACTCCGAGGCGCAGGCCAACGCGTGAGCGATGTTAGCTGCAGCTGCCTGCGTCAGCAGATCAGCCGTCTCTCACTATTCAGGGATCGTGCCTTGTCTGAGCCTCTGCGCCTGACTCAAAGGACACACGCGATGCATGGCCGAAAGAAGTATGAGGCCTTGCGAGCTCGACCAGCTTGCGACTAAGGTCAAGGGCCTGCAACGTACAAACTCGGCATTCATCGACATTGCACGCTGCTGAACCGCTTGACCACATGAACTCCAAACAGCTCTGTCCGAATGGACTTAAGGTGGTGACAAACAGGCACGGTGTGGCTCAACACTGCGCACTTTGCCATCTGCCTTGCACCGCTGAGGCTGCAGCTCTCTCCTTTTGGCAGCTTGTGGCTTTTGACTTGCCTATCAGCTAGGTGAAAGGTGCAAGCTACACCTGCCACGAGTCTTTAGAGTTGCGGGCGCTGTCATTTAAGCTCGGAACCCGCTGATGGACCGCCCCTTGGCACCATGCTAATGCACTACCGCAACAAATATCTTACTTCGCTGACAGGGAGCACAGGCCAGCACATGCTTGGGAAATTCAAGGCTCCACCAATATCGCAAACTGACCATGTGAGAAGATGTGAGAAGAAGCTTATAGGTTTTGAACTGATGTATCACACTTGCGCCAAGGCAGGGCGGCAAATTGTGTGAAAGGCACCCCTGACAAAGACTAAGCCAAGGTCTGCAGTGCTCGCTGCACTGTGCGCACCACTGGATCTCAGATGTGATCACTTGGTCTTGTTTTCCCTTGTTTTTCCACTACGTGATCAAAGCGGCAAGCACACTTGAGACAAAAGGCTCGCCGCGAATCGCGTAACTCCATGCATCCTGTCTGGCTGGCATCGGCTAACCTTTCGCAACTTCTCGTTTTGAGACTTGGTGGGGTGAGTGGCTCAATAGGATCAACAGTTAGGGAAGCATTGGCACAGATGCCCGTTCCACCGCTCGAACGGGCCTATCGGTCTGTCTGTCTCGCTTTACAAAGCGGCAAGGGTTCCCATTTGGTCCACGACTCTTGACATACCTTGAAGCGATCTCTCAGCTTCGCTGCGCGCAACAGCATGCGCGTTCCATGGGCTGCACTGACCCAATCTCTGCAAGTATGTGTTGCTTTGTTGTGCACGGTCACTATTATAATCCTTTGGCGTAATCTTGACTTGGGGAGGGGCCCTACAATGACATAGCAGTTCTTCAGAGCAACCCTGTGGACATAGACCTGCAAGAATCGCTTGTTGCAATTCACCGATCAAAACAATCAACAAACAATGTTCATGTGGTTCGGGCAAGCATAGTGGTTTCTGCTGGCTTCCTGACTTGTGCCTCCAATATTTCAATATTTCAGAGAAATGGCTACATCAGCTCAAGTACAAATCACAGCATGCATCTAAGGAGTTCGCAGGCCTTTCGTGATCACTTCTCTCACAACATTTTGATCTGGTGAGACTTAGGCTTGCATCTTGCTTGTGAGCTTGTTGCCAAAAAGAAAACATCAAACCAGTCATCTGTTCATGGAACTGCTCGTGATTGAAAAAACCTGCTGATCGGTTGAAGCCGAATTCTCTCTTGGTCTCGGAGACCGAAAGCGAATAGATCAAACAAACGTGGAATGAGACCTGTTGGCAATAACAAGCGGCCACAGCGGCCAGCCATGGGAAGATTCAGGAAACAGCGACTGGCGACCTGATCTGAACGGCTTGGCAGGCATGAAACAGTTAAACAAGTTGCAATCTGATCTGCATGCAGACTTGCAGCTGTCCGAAGGGATGCTGCAAGGAAGCTAGCAACTGCCAGGCTTCTTCATCACTTTCGTCCTCCATGGCGCTTTTCTCGCTCTGTGTGGCAAAGCGAACACATGCCAGGCTGACATCGGACGGTTCTGTTCCTCAGCAAAAGCATGTCGAACTCTAAACAATGTTCAGACGGTCACTGTCATGGAGGAATTGAATCTAGCAGCCGTCGATTGGTTGGGTCAGGAAGGGCATCAGCACTTCTGGATGTGCCCTGCCACCTGATTGTGGAGAGCATCAGAGTTCACTAGGCTGCGGTGGGTGTACTGAGAGGCTCACATTCTTCCAACAAGTCTTCAGCCTTGAAGAACATTGACAATGGCCTGTGTGCCATTCCTTGCATTCGCCTCGTGGTGCATTTCAATGTGGCGTCAAGCCTTGTGCGCACGACACACAACACAGCCGTGCCAGGCCTTGCCTTTGGAAGAGCATCTCTTCGATTTCCTGAAGGTCATGCGTCGAAATCACTTCTCTAAGTGTGATGAAGGCAACAGTCCGCACGTTCAAAAGTGCGGCCACATGGTGTATCGAGGCTTTTGGACTTGTCCGCGTTTCCATTCAACATGCAGGATCTCTCTCTCTCTCTCTCTGTCTCTCTCTCTCTCTTCTCTGCAAAACTCACAACACATAGACACACACGCCCACAACACACACACACACGCACAACACACAACTCACACACACACACACGTAAACACATCACCCGCACGCGAACCCGCACACCCGCGCGTGCGCACACACACACACACACGCACAGGCTTACACGCGCATTCACCCGCACCCACAGCCACATGCACGCGCACCTGCGCACGCGCACACGCGCTCGCACGCATGCACGCAATGCACAGGCAATCGCGCGTACACCCACATCCACACGCACAAGAGCGCGCACTCACAGACAAACACAGACACACACACACAGACACACAGATGCGCACACACACACAGAGACACACAAACACGCAAACACGCACACACACACACACACAAACGCACCACATTGAAACAAAGAGGCACCAAAACACACCAACAAACACACAACACACAACACACCACCACACACCACCAAACACCGCCACACACCACCACACACCACCACACAACACCTCACCACACCACCACGCACCATTCCACAACACCACACACCACCAAACAACACCACACAACACCACACAACACCACACAACACCACCCAACGCCACACAACACCACACAACACCACACAACACCACACAACACCACACAACACCACACAACACCACACAACACCACGCAACACCACGCAACACCACGCAACACCACGCAACAGCACACAACAGCACACAACAGCACACAACAGCACACAACAGCACAACACCACACAACAGCACACAACAGCACACAACAGAACACAAGACCACACAACAACACACAACAGCACACAACAGCACAACACCACACAACAGCACACAACAGCACACAACAGCACACAACAGGACACAACACCACGCAACAACACACAACAGCACACAACACCACACAACAACACACAACAACACGCAACAGCACACAACACCACGCAACAACACACAACAGCACACAACAGCACACAACACCACACAACACCACACAACACCACGCAACACCACGCAACACCACGCAACACCACGCAACACCACGCAACACCACGCAACACCACGCAACACCACGCAACACCATCGCAACACCACAGAACAGCACTCAACAGCACACAACAGCACACAACAGCACACAACAGCACACAACAGCACACAACAGCACACAACAGCACACAACAGCACACAACAGCACACAACAGCACACAACAGCACACAACGGCACACAACAGCACACAACAGCACACAACAGCACACAACCCCACACCATCACACCAACACACCACACACCACACACCACACACCCACACCACACACCACACACCACACACCACACACCACACACCACACACCACACACAACACACAACACACAACACACAACACACAACACCCACACACACACACACACAACACACAAACACAAACACCCACACGCACACAAACACCCACACGCACACGCACACGCACCCACCCATACCCATACACCCACACCCACACACACACACACACACACCCGCACACACACACACACACCCGCGCCACACAGCCACACAGCCACACAGCCACACAGCCACACAGCCACACAGCCACACAGCCACACAGCCACACAGCCACACAGCCACACAGCCACACAGCCACACCCACACTGCACACACACGCACACTGCCCCGCCTGGCTCCTACCCACTGCTGCTTCAAAGGCTTATCATGATTGCACGCATGTTGCTGGTTTGCCAAGTATCTGGGTGATTGTAGAAGCATGCCAGGTCTTCAAGAGTGTTTCCGTCGACCTGGTGTCAAAGTGAGCGCAGTGCTACGGGCCCTTGTTCGATCAAATCATTTGCATCCCGACGATCTGGCCCACAACTTCTTCTAACAAGCCGGGCACACATCTCGCTGCTCTAAGGGGGCGCCTCCAGGCAACAGGATTGCAACAATTATATTGCAGTCTCATCCTTTCACACACTGAGACCGCACCTCAGTGGAAATGCAACGCAACCCAAGACATGGGGAATTCAATCAACAAAACTTCATTCTCGACCTCGTTGCAGCGCAGCTTCGATGGCTCCCACATCGCCTTGCTCCACTGCCTAAATGCAACATGCGGCTAACTAGGTTTGGCCCTATGCAAGAGGCATGCCCATGGTTATTTTCAATTGAGAGATCTAAGGCAGCTTCCTTAAGGAGAATTTGACCATAGACCTCCTTTCTGAGCAGGACTTTGAGCTGCGTCACCAGTCTGTCGGTGCCGATGCCCATGTCCCACACTCGTTCGGCGAAGGTTCGCAGCCGCCGCTCATCGGCCTTCCGGGAAGTTGCCACGGCCCAATCCACGGCATCGATGCAGGCTTCCCATTTGAGAAGCTCTGCCTCGGAACCGCTGAAGTGAACTGCACTGGACACCCGAAGCTTTGAGATAGCCATCATGGCCTCGGCCAAAACCCACAAACGCGAAAGGCAAAGGCCATCTTTATCCAGAACCAAGAGGACCTCTTGGACTCCCAAAATGAGGGCCTGAACCGCTGCCACTGGATCTGTCTTTGCCTCTTCCAGGTGCTCTGCTCCGAACACATCAAGGCTGTATCGACGGTCCAGGTCTGACCCGGCATCACGCACAATGCAGTCAATCAGCTCCTCATAGCTGGCATCCCAAGCGTGTGCCACATGGGTGCGGCATGGCCCCGCTACGCGGCCACCCGTCAGTGGATGCACCTCTGACTCAAAGTCCTGGGTGCTCACACCTCTCTGCCGCAGTGTGGCGGCCACCGCTCGCGTAGCTTCGGGCCCTGACCTGGAATCCACCAGAGAGGACACTAAGAAAGCGGCGCTGACTCCAGTGGCAGGACTGGGGCTTTGTCGAGAGATGCCTGAAAGTCTGCTCTGCGCCGATCTGACAGAATTGCCCCCAACTGAGCCATTGCTAGGTGTGAGCTGCGATTTCGATCGCCGATTCTGCAGGAGTTTCAGCAGTTTGGCCTCGCTTTCACATGGCTCCAAAGATGCATTTGAGGATAGGGAGCGACGCATGGCTTCACAGGGTGAAACATGCGTTGTTGGAGAGCTTTTGCTGAGCGCTCGCGAGAGACATTTTGCATGCAATCATGAAACATGTTGCATTGGTTTCCATAGCCAAACATGCTAGACATTCGAGGACAAGAAGCTGTTTGCAGTCGGCTGCGGAAGACTTTTCATGTCCATATTTGGCTGCTTGAGCCGATCTCTTAGATGCGTGTAGATGCCTCACAAAAGCCCATGTCTGGTGCCGGCAACATCTTAACACGTTGATCGTAGCAGCCTGCACTCACAACCAAACTCACCAGATCACTTGCAGTTCCTGAAGAGTAACGTGAACTATCGCCGGACTTCTCAAACCTCGAAATGTTCACTGCACCAAGCCCCCCCCGTGCGCGCATCTTTCCCTTGACTTTGTCCCCGCTGGCATCCACTTCTTGTAGAGCCAAGCTGAAATCACCGGGCATGACAAGTGGCTGTAGGGTCATCAAGGTTTGAATTTTGGGCATGCGGTACGCTCACGGAGCCCAAAGTCCGTGTGAAGCCCGAACTTGTGTCATTTCTCGTACATGCTGGCCAGATTCGGACAACCTCATCTTGCCATGCCCTGAAGAAAACATGTACATAGCACACTGTTTCGGTGGCAGGATTGTCCCGGTAAAGGACAAATGCGTTGGATCCAAACTCGCTATTTCCCAACATCTCAACTTTGACAGGCAACTCAAACATAGCACACAATCGGGAGAAGGCTGCACATTCTTTGAAGGTGACAGAGGTCTTCGTGACTCCAGAATCTTTGACAAACTTCTCACGCTTCGCGGTAATTAAAGGTTACCGACATTCCCAGCTGAACCTCTCAAAGATTGGCCGAGGAATGTGACCAAAGTGCAAATGCGGAGGCTCCTTATCATGATCGCGACAGCATCACTCTGTCCGCTTGAGCAACCACATCTGAGGCTGAAGCTACTTGGCGCCGTGCGCCACGGAATGCCCACAACACATCCTTGGCATCCACCTGGGAACTTGTGAATCCCTTTCCACAGGCTGTGCTCTTGTGGGAATTGTCCTTGCCGTCTGGCAGTCATTGTTCTTGCACACATCGTATCATATTGAGTGCCTCACATCCACCCCATCGTACACCCCTGTCGAAATCGTAGAAGAGAATGCAGTGCTTGTGTTGCTGCCTGGGATTGACACATGAATCACAAAGCTGCCCAGTACCTGCTTGCACCGGTCTTGCATTCTGCGTGCGACCAAGCGGGGGGCAAGGGCGGGAGAAGGGGCCTGGCCGCGATGGCACCTGAAACCAAACACGCAAACAAGCTGGCTCCATACCAACCCGTCGCGTGATGCTTTCCCTCCCTGAGAGCATCCTAAACCCGGAATCGCATAAATGTCCTGCATGCCTCAAGCCAGTCAGCAAAGCCTGTTTTGCAGTCCAGCAAGCAATCTTGAAACTTGCCTCTTTCAACTGCAACTCGCAATTTGCGCGTCACAGGGTCATTAACATGAGGCCCTAGGCAACTGCTTCCTGTCTTGCATGGTGTTGAGATGTTTTGGGATGTTTTGGGCCCAGGGCCATGGAAGCGTGAGACTTGACTCCAGGAACAAATCTCCGCTCGCATAAAGTGCTCCATCGCGGTGCTACCTGTCTCTTTGGGACTTCTGCGCAACAGAACTTCGCCCGAAGCAGCGCAAAGCAAAAACACACGGCTTGCATGTTGCCACCATTTTGGACAGAAAGAAATCCTGGGCCAAGACACTACTCTTCTTGTATAGGCGGCATGTCGGCTGGCGGCACCAATGATGGCCTGAGGTCATCCTACCCTTTCATCTTGACGCTTTCCCGAGCAGAGCGCTTCATGCCGCAATTACTGATCTGCTTTTGGCCGAGCTGCTGTGCATCTGCCTGGGAGAAAGGCGCGAAAGCGTTGAACCACTGGTTCCGCTGCTCCTGGCCACATTGAAGGCTGCCCTTTCTCTGACACAACCTCGGGCCTCCGAGCTGGCAGCTAACTGCAGCACCCAGCGGCCAAGGGCCTGACGACACAATTTATAAATTAACCACATCCTTTTGAGAGGAAGGCAATTAAAACATCCTGGGCAAGTGCCCAAGGCTTTTGGCTCTTGGTGCCTGCTTCTTGCCCTTGTGTGCCAACGGGCCAGGCTTGACGGCAATCGTAAACGCGAAGGGTCGCGCTGCTTCATCCTCGTCCAATTCCCTGCGCATGTGAGGTGAGCAAGATTGAACAAGGCATCTTTGAAGAGACATTGAGGGCCGTGGCAAGCCTGTGTCTTGCACCCTTCTCCAAGGAGTACTCCTTCGAGGCAACGAGCGAGGTTTCTGCACGTAACTTGCTACGTGGCAAGCACGACGCGTTGATTGGCTCCTGTGGAGCAGACTCCATGGGCGGTGATATGACCACACCTAATACAGGCTTGAGCACTTGATTTAGCCTCTCATGTGTGCACACACAAACACAAAGGTACAAGGGCACAACACACAACAAACAAAGAAACAAACAAACAAAACACACACACACAAACAAAAACCAACAAACAAACAAAAGAAATAAACACAACAAACAAACAAATAAACAACTATCAAACAAACAACAACACAAACACACAAACAAGCAAACCAACCAACCAACCAACCAACCAACCAACCAACCAAGCAAGCAAGCAAGCAAGCAAGCAAGCAAGCAAGCAAGCAAGCAAGCAAGCAAGCAAGCAAGCAAGCAAGCAAAACACACAAACAAACAAACAAACAAGCAAACAACCAACCAACCAACCAACCAACCAAACAAACAAACAAACAAACAAACGAACAAGCAAACACACAAACAAACACACGAGCAAACAAACAAACAAACAAACAAACAAATAAACAAACAGACAGACAGACAAACAAACAAACCAAACACAGAAACACTCACACAAACAATCAAACAATCAAAACAAAACACGCAAACAAATAACAAGAAAACAAGCAAGCAAACAAGAAAACAAACAACCGAACAAGCAAGCACACACACACAATCAAAAGCACACACACACACGGACACCTTTCCCATCCGAGAGGCTACCAGAC